CTCAAACAATTCTCGGATGTAAGATTTTTATCAATAAATATTGGGATTTGTTTAACTAAAATAAAATGATATTAAAACTAACAATATTCCAAATTAAAGATAATTCAATGGTAAAAAGATCTAGGGTATTGATTTCCCCAATTGCTAGATTAATTCTTAACTCTTTTGCTATAATCTCGCTGTAATACTCTATGAGGATTATGAGTTGTGAGTTACCGCAATTATCTCTTGATCATTACGATAATTTACTAGAGCATTCTCTCAAACTACTCTAGCTGATAATTTATGCAGCTCTGAATTATCCCACCAAAGCTTCGTTATTTCTAACCCCACTTTTAAATTCAAGTAATAAATCTCTTCAATTACCCAAAAGTGGTGTTGTTCAACAACAATCTAACCTAGTATTTTTTTCTCAAGCAACACAAGGTGATTAGACACGATTAATCAAGGGCCCATTCAATTAATCACCATACAAAACATAGTTGAACAATCATATAATAAACCCGGCTCGATTATAACAAAACTGAGTCAAAACGTTATCTAACAATTGGCTCCATCAACCCTAGACTAAATAATTAGCTACGCATAATTGTTTTCATAATCACAACAGCAAAATTCATAATCAATGATCAACACAAAAGGAAGAAAGATAGAACTCGATGCCAAATTTTCCTCCTTGCCTCTTGCCTCTTCTTGCCTTTAACAAAACTCTAAAAACCTTGATACCCTCTCTTTGGTCGACTTGGGCTTCTTATATGTTAAGGAGAGTTGCCCCCGAACTTACAAAATTACCCCTAGAAATAAGGTTCAGCAAATTGACGAGCGCGGCAGCGCTTGGGCCGCGCATATCACATTTTGTTCTGCCTGGACTAGCGCGGCTGGAGCGCCCATGCTTAGCCCGCGATCATGAGGTTCAAATGTTTTCTACTTTTATCCTTATTCTTTCACGCACATTCACCTCCGAGTGGCTTTCCTTGCTCCAAATTAGCTCCAAAAGCTGTTGAATGTCCTCATAATCAACACTTGCTCCTGCAAAGCACAAAAACCTCAATTAGAGCATTTTGTTATCATTTAGCACTTAAAACATCAATAAAGTATGGTTAACTTCGAGCATAAATAGCATCTACATCGCATAATATAGGCTACTATCAACACCCCACACTTAAACCGGTTCTAGTCCTCTAACAACAAAAGCACACTCTATAGGCCTAATCATCACTGGTCACTTCCCTACTCCTTATACCAAGAATAATTCACATAGATATACTACCTTAGCGTAACATCTTAACCTCAAGAGTAGACTCTCTCTCTCTCTCTCTCTAGCCACGTAACATCCCTAACCGGCTTTCATACTCTCAGTCAGAGGTCTAGACTTACCTTCCCTTCATGAATCACGTGCCTACTCACCACAAAAGAGACTTGTGTCATGGTCATTATAATTCACACACTGAGGAATTCAAATATGTAAGATTTCACTAAACCTCAGAAATAAATTCTATGCCACAAACAACGCATCATAGGCTTGCCTGTAGTGTAATACTCGACTAATCGAGTCCATGTGGTCTAGAATCAAATAGCAATTTATTTGGTTGTAATGTTGGCTGCGGGACAGGTAGGATACATATGGGTATAGTGACTACGCCTCCCTAAGCACTTCAATACATTTTTCACTTTTAAGCCCATACCTATGTCAAACCTTTGTTCCACTTTTACATCATTGAGTTAAACCCCCTACTTCTTTAAGCACACTTACATCAAGAGATACCACTTAGCAAGGAAAGTATTTTTTTTTCAATTCAAGTGGCTCGTAATTTTTTTTTCAATACAGTGCACCTTTCTCCGTATTTCGTTAGCTCCACTCAAAAGCCAACCAACCACCCCACACTTTAACTTTTCCATATTCATTACAATTCAAGTGTTGTAAGAGGTGACATGGTTCAAAAATATAGACAATTCACAACTTGGGTAAGGCTTGTAATGTGGTTGCCAAAGAAACAGGATTACAGGCTCAAAGGGGTTAACTAGGATATACACAATCATGTGGGTGAAAACATATATAGATAAGTTCAACAAGGAAACGCCTATATCACTTTCCAGACCAATTAAGACTACCATTTCGCTTCGTACACACACAGGGAAAGTTCTAGGCATTGAGTGTTAGCATAGAATACCCAAAGCCTCACTCACACATGGCACATGACTCAATTAAGTTAGGACTTAAGACCATCAGACACTCTGCTCAAGGTGCTTAAGCCAACTCGAGAACACATATTTTAAGGATTTATTGCTAGAGTCAACTAATGAGCCTAAGTGTCATATTAAAGCAATCTTTATTCTTCTTCGCCCAAAAATTCCTAAACTAACAAAAAAAAACTAACTACACCCGGTTCAAATGGAAACCCTTGGAATAGAACCGTGGTTTAAAGAAAAATCAAGGGGGAGTTGATACACTACCTAATAGGAGAAAATCTTTTTTATATATATATCGACTTAGACCCTCAAGAAACCCGTCTAGTGATATCCATCGTCGGGACAAGTCGAATCACCTATTTAGACAAAATAACTAAGGACCAAAATCAAACTACAAAATTCAAACTAACTAAAGACCAAAATCAACTATATACCAACATATATACAACATACAAATGAAGTATCCCCACCCCACACTTAAAAAATGACATGTCCCCATAGAGTACAAAATAAATAAATGCGAGGTAAAGGAACTTCCCTGACAGCTCAGTCTTGATTGGATACAGTGTCAGGGTCAAGGTGTCACACCCGACTCAAAGCACGCAGCCAACCCATGATTTTCTTTTCCGATTTAGCATTCTGGGTAGCCAAAGCATCAACTCGCGTCCCCAAGTCTGCGACATTGGTATGCATCCCTGCCATCTCCTACTCTAAGGCTGCTAACCGGGTAACCCGACCAACCCCAGATGGTCCTACAGCTTCCATAACTGGCTCATGGGTGGGCAACTCGGCTTCCGCTTCCTCCTGCTCATCCTCTCCCTCCTCAGGTGCGTCTGAGTCATCACTATCATCACCACCAGGTGCCATAGGCTCCTTCCCAGTACTTACCTTATCCGCTCGAAACTTTACCTCTCTTGTCACTTTTCCATCAACACTCAAGTTTTCCAGCACCCGAGCTGCCCGGCAAAGCCTAGTGACTAAGGAAGGGAAAAAGAACCCATACCTCTTCACCGAACAATAAGTAAACATCTCCTCGTGAATAAACTTGGCCACGTCAAAATTGTGACCATTCATAAAACACCAAATCAATGTAGCTCGAGGGGCATTCACTTCCATGGTGTTGGAGGACGGGAGCAGGCAGTTGTTGATGACATACAACCAGCACTTCCCTTCAAAGGTGAGTGGCGCTGAATGGAACTTACGCCCATATTTCATCCACACAATCTCCTTGCCTGACACACAAATTGTTTCAAAGAATAACTCTCACTAAGTGTATTTTCTGCCATAGGCTTCATAATAATCTTCCATCTCCGCCACAGGTGCAGGCAGCCGATATATTCTCCGAATAGCCTCAATAGAGGCATCCACAACCTTCTTGCGCACTGTGGCTACACCATTCACATATTATTTAACGTTGGCATAGAACTCGCACACAACCATCAAATTCCCATCATCCGGTTCTTCAAAGAAAATTTCTAGCCCACGCCTGACCAACTCATTGTACAAGTTGGGACAGCCATATTGGAGCGACCCTATATCCATGCCCTCTACGATATTGGTTTCTTGGATGCCTGATCAACAAAACGGTCCTGAGCTGCGATGGAGACGAACTTGTTACTATCATAAGGACGAGTAGGAGCCGAAGCACGCGCTCTGAAGGATCCATCTTGGCCGCTGGATGAAGCACCAGTAGTTCAGCATTTCTTGGAAGGTGTCATAGTACCTGGAAGGAAGAATATCATTAGCAAAGCACAAAAGATGTGACTCAACTGCAGTTACTCAGACTTCACCCAGTTGGTCACAATTACCATTGATACTCACTGTGCCATTTTAACAAACACTTTGTGGGCATTATTCACCGGAGCCCCCAATTAACCATGTTATAAACCAATGTTCATCACAATTGCCCCAATGTTACCCACCTAAGTTAAGATATACATCTACACAAACACCACAATCCACAAGTAACTATATATACACTACAAATTATTTCTAAGGGAAAAAGAAGAAAAACTACTACATAACCAAGAATTCAAAAGAAAACCCAACAAAAATTGGCAAAAAGAAAACCTTACTTGAAGTGGGAGGAGATTGTGAGAAGTGAAGAAGAGTGGTGGGGGTGAGATTGGCGTTGAACCTTGGGGGGATTAGGGATGGGATTATTTGGGAATGGGAAATGGGCGTGTCTGAGTGGAGAGGAGGGAAAGAGTTTTTAGTTGTAGGGGTTAGAGGGGTAAAAAAATTTAATACAATTAAAATAAAAAAAAATTAACTTATACAAAGTGGCAGCAGACGACACAAGCACGGTCTTAGCACGGTTCGAGCGTGACCGCGCTAGTAAAATAGAATACTTAGCCATATGTGCGGTCTGAGTGCGGTCGCGCTCCTGGGTAGAAATCTTAGGCAGAATACATTGCAATATGCGCGGTCTGAGCGTGGTTCATGCGTGGCCGCGCTCTTGGGCCTCGAGATTTTTCAACTTTTGTACCTATTCTTTCAGCGTCTGATAGACTTATCACTCGCCCAAGCTCACCTACACTGGTTAGTACTTACTAAAATCAAAAATAACAAATTCTAACTATACTAAAGTCACTACGCATTGGGTTGCCTCCCAACCAGCGCCTTAATTAATGTTGCGGCACGACAAATACAAAAAATCAATGGGTTGCCTCCCATGAAGCGCCAGATTTAACGCCGCAGCATGACGCAGGCTCATGTCATCACTCCTCATTTGTGTATTGGGGCTCCTCCAACATTATCACCACGTTGTCCCCTTTTTCTTCAGTCATTCCAAGGTAATGTTTCAACCTCTACCCATTCACTGTGAATTTGTTCGTCCCATCTTCAGATTCGATCTCCACAGCTCCACTTGGGAACATTTGCACCACTCTGAACGGTCCTGACCATCGAGACTTCAACTTACCCGGGAACAACCTCAATATTGAGTTATATAGCAGCATTAATTCTCCGAGTTTGAAGTTCCGATTCAAGATGTGCTTGTCATGCATTAGTTTCATCCTTTCTTTATATAGTCTAGCACTCTCGAATGCTTGGAACCGGAATTTCTCAAGCTCATGCAACCCATTAACTCTGTTGGTGCCCGACGTCTCTGTGTTTAAGTTCAGCTGTCGTAATACCCACAGTGCTTTGTGTTCGAGCTCAACTAGAAGGTGGCATGCCTTTCTAAATACCAACTTGTATGGTGACATACTAATTGGAGTTTTGAAGTCTGTGCGGTATACCCACAATGCATCATCCAGCTTCTTTGCCCAATCAGTTCTTGTTGTATTCACTGTTTTTTAGAGGACACTTTTGATTTCCCTATTGGACACTTCCACCTGCCCGCTTATTTGTGGGTGGTATGGTGAGGCTACCTTGTGGTGAAATCCATACTTCTCTAACAGGCGTGCAAATGCTCTATTGCAAAAATGAGATCCACCATCATTGATTATGGCTCGGGGGTGCCAAAACGTGTGAAAATGTTTATTTTAGGAAACTGGTCACCCCTTTCGCATCATTGGTTGGGAGAGAAACTGCTTCGACCCACTTGGAGACATAGTCAATGGCAACCAGTATATACTTGTTACTGTAAGAGCTGACAAAAGGCCCCATGAAGTCGATCCCCCACATGTCAAACACTTCCACCTCTTGGATTGTAGTCATTGGCATCTCATGACGACAGGATATATTGCCCGTCCTTTGGCATTCATCACAGCTTTTGACCCAAGCATGTGCATCCTTAAACAATGTAGGCCAATACATGCCTAATTCCAACACCTTTGCTGATGTCTGAATTCCTCCAAAGTGTCCACCATACGGCGAAGCATGGCAAGCCTGCAAAACAGAGGGTTGATCTTGCTCGGGGATACACCGCTGGATCATGTTATCAACATATATTTTGAACAATAGAGGTTCATCCCAATAATACCCACAACAATCACAGAAATTTTTTTTCTTCTGAATTGAGGAGAGATCATGAGGTACAATACCACATGCTAAGTAATTAACACTATCAGCATACTATGGTGCCTCCTCCATTGTCACAACAAGTAATTGCTCATCCGGGAATGTCTCAATGATATCTTCAACCTCCGTTCTCTTTTCTACCCCTTCCAACCTCGAGAGGTGGTCTGCTAATTGGTTGTCTGTCCCCTTTCGGACACGAATCTCCAGGTCAAATTCTTGTAGAAACAAAACCCAGTGAATCAAGTGAGGCTTTGACTCCTTCTTTGCTATCAAGTACCTAATGATTGCATGGTTAGTATAAACAATAACTTTCGATCCAATCAGGTATGACCTGAATTTGTCGAAGGCAAACACTACAACGAGCATTTCCTTTTCCGTAACCGTGTAGTTCAGTTGTGCACCACTAAGATTCTGGCTTGCATAGTAAATTAGGTGCATAATTTTCTCCTTGCGCCGCCCTAAAACTGCTCCTATAGCGTAATTACTGGCGTCGCACATCAGCTCGAATGGTTGCTCTCAGTTGGGTGAAACAATGAAGGGTGCAGCCATTAATCTCTTCTTCAACTCCTCATATGCTAACCTGCAAGCATCAGAAAACATAAAGTGCTGGTCTTTTTCAAGCAGCTTACATAAGGGGTTAGCAATTTTTGAAAAATCCTAGATGAACCGCCTGCAGAATTAGGCGTGCCCAAGGAAACTTCTCACTGCTTTCACTGAAGTGGGTGCTAAGAGCTTCTCAATCACATCAACTTTTTCATGGTCTACTTCAATCCCCTTTTTGGACACTCTATGCCCCAACATTATGCCTTCTTGTACCATAAAATGGCACTTCTCCTAGTTTAACACCAAATTTGTCTCCACACATCGTTTGAGTACTCTTTTAAGGGTGTGAAGACAATCTTCAAATGAATCCCCTACCATAGAGAAATCATCCATGAACACCTCCATAATGTCTTCGACCATGTCGGTGAAAATGTCTAACATACACCACTGAAATGTGGCCGGTGCATTGCAAAGTCCAAAGGGCATTCTCCGAAAGGCAAAGATGCCATACGGACATGTGAAGTACATTTTCTCTCTATATTCCGGGGCTATTGAGATCTGATTGTACCCCGAGTATCCATCTAAGAAACAAAAATGGGATCACCCAGCTAACCTGTCCAACATCTGGTCAATGAAGGGCAAGGGGAAATGGTCCTTTCGGGTGGCTGCATTTAATTTCCTGTAATCCATGCAAATCCACCACACTATGACTGTACGAGTTGAGATCAACTCGTTCTTCTCTTTCTGTACAACTGTCATTCCACCCTTTTTTGGTACACACTGGACGGGGCTTACCCAATTGCTGTCAGAGATGGTAAAGATGATGCCCGCGTCCAGCCACTTAATTACCTCCTTTTTCACTACCTCTTTCATACTCGGGTTCAACCTTCATTGATGTTCCTTGGAAGGTTTGTGCCCTTCTTCCAGACGAATCTTGTGCATGCAGAAGGCCGGGCTGATACCCTTTATGTCTGCCATGGTCCAACCAATGGCAGTTTTGCATTCCTACAACACCTGCAGTAATTGTTTTACCTACATAGCTAGCAAACCAGATGATATAATAATAGGCAAAGTAGAATTGGGATCCAAGAAAGCATACCTGAGGTGGGCTGGAAGCGGTTTCAGCTCCAGTTAGGGTGGTTCCTCTATTGATGGTTTTGCAGGTGGTGTAGCTCTCTTTTCTAAATCAAGGGGCTTGAACTGAGGTTCCCTCTTCCAGAATCCTTGGCCTTCGAGTGCCATGACCCATTCTACCAACCCTTCACCATCTATCTCCTCTAAATTAGTCAAGCAAGCTCCCAATGGATCATTAGCATTCAGGGTCTTATCATCTTCATGCAGGTTCACATCCATAACTTCCACTAGTGAGCAATTTGCATATTGACTGGGTGTCCTCATGGATTATTGAATGTTGAATATTACTTCTTCATCGTTCAACCTCATTTTTAATTCCCCAGTTTCATAATCAATTAATGCTCTCCTAGTGGATAAGAATGACCTCCCTAGAATGATAGGTATCTCCTCATCTACCTGCCAATCCAGAATAACAAAGTCTGTAGGGAATACAAACTTTTCCACTTGTACCAACACATCATCAAGAATCCTCATCGGCCTTTTAACCGTGCGGTCAACCAGTTGCAATTGCATCGAAGTTGGTCTAGCTCTGCTAATGCCCAGTTTTGTATTATTGCCAAAGGTATCAAGTTTATGTTGGCTCCTAAGTCACACAATGCTTTTGCAAAAGCATAACTCCCAATAGTACACGGAATAGTAAAGCTACCTAGATCAAACATCTTTTGAGCCACGGGTCTTGTCACTACCGCGCTGCATGTCTGTGTTAGAGTTACTGTGGACAGGTCCTGAAAGTCAAATTTCCGTGACATCATGTTCTTCATCATCTTTTCATAGCCTAGTATTTTCCTCAAAGCATCCATCAGAGGGATATTCAATTGAATCTGACGAAGCATCTCCATGAATTTCCTGTATTGATCTTCTTTCTTTTGTTTTGCCAGTCTCTAACAGAATGGTGTAAGCATTACTCTTTGTCCACTGCTTGTTGGTTGTTCTTTGTTGGAATTTTGTGGCACAAGAGGTACCACCTGTTCTGCAACTTGTTCACTTTCTTTAGCCTTACCCTTATCAACCCGAGCTTGTTCAACCACTACTTCAGTGAGTTCTGCTGATTCATCTATCTCTAATGGAACTGGAGTGGCTAGTATAGTCTCTCTTCTGGATTGAGCAACTTCTTGCTCCTTGTCTAAATCTCTCCCATTCCGAAGACTTACTGTCATCAGCTGATTCGGGTTTTGCTCCTTGGGGTTAATGTTCGTGTCGACTGACAATGTTCCCTGGGAGTGGTTATTCAAGGCCATGGACAGCTGCCCCAGTTGAGTTTCAATACCCTTAATTGCTGAGTCATGTGCTACCAACTTTTCCTGCATCTTACCATTTGTTCCAATGAGTTGTTGCAACATACCCCTAATTTCTACTATGTTGTCGTCCTGTTGCTGATAAGGTGGCTGATATGTCAACTGTTGCTGGTGCTGCTGTTGATAGCCCGGTTGCCTCTGATATGGCAATATTTGGCCTTGGGGCCGCATACCTTCAGGTTGTGGCATAGTCAGTCTGTACTGCTGGTTGGGTGTTGGCCCCCATTGTTGTCTGTCTTGTCTCTGACCCCCAAAATTGTTGACATAATTTATATCCTCTCTTAACCCTTGGTTGTCAATTTCTCCACTCCATGAACACACATAAGACTGATTAATGTAAGGTATACACAATCCTGCATTTGTTGTGCCAACGATATGCACTTGCTTTGTACCCATCTCATTAATCTTCTTTGTCAGTATACTCATCTGAGTCATGAGTATGGCTATGTTCTCTGCATGTGAATTATTTGGGTCAAGAGGAACTGAATGCACTATTGGTGTCAGGGTCGTACCTCTCGTCATCCACCCCGAATTCTGGGCCATCTTGTCAAGAAGAATTTTACACTTTGTGAATGTCTTGCTCATGAATGCACCCCCAGCTGAGGCATCTACATTGGATTTTAAATTGTTGGCTAACCCCATATAGAATCTCTGGTTGAGCATCTGGTCTAGAATACCATGGTGGGTACACTTCACTAGCATCTCTTTGAATCTTTCCCAAGTTTCCGGCAAGATCTCAGTGGGAATCTACTTGTACATCAATATCTCATCAATCTGTCTTGCAGTCTTGTTGGGCGGGTAAAACTTGTTCAGGAACTACTTGAATAATTCCTCCCAAGTGGCAATGGAATTTATTGGGAGCGAATTCAGCTAAGTCTGAGCTTCCCCAGCCACAGAGAACGGGAACAGTAACAACTTGATGGCTTCTGGGGTCACATTTGGCTGCCTTTGGGTCACACAAATCGACAAAAAAATTTTAGGTGTTGTTGAGGGTCTTCAATGTGTGACCTAGAGAACAATCTCTTATTCTGCAGAAGATGCAGCATGTTGTTGGTGATCGGGAATGTCTCCGCTTGTATTTGGGGAACAGCAATCGCGGTGGCCAGGTTGTCAGTTGTTGGTTGTGCCCAATCATAAAGTGCAGCTTCTGGCACAAGAGGTGCTACCACTCTGATGTTTGGGTCATCTTGATCATTCCTGATCTTCCCGTTGAAGTTATCTACGTCACCCATTTCAATTTGTTCGTTTTGTTTCAGCTGTTTGCCCTTCTTGTTATCCCAGTTCAATGTCCGGAATGTTTTCTCGGGATTTAAGAGTCTTTCAAAGAGTTCACCAGTTCTCGAAGAGTTTCTAGGCATGCACCTAAGTTACAAAAGAGTTCAACTATGAGAATTTCAATGGGAATATTTACACTACGGAAATTTTATCAAAAACTAATAATCCTAACAATTCTTCAAAGTTGCAACAAATAACACCGTCAAATCCCCGGCAGCGCCAAAATTTAGTCACGCCCAACTATGACTTCTAAAAAGGACTAAGCGGTCGTTGCAAATATAATCCGGTTTACAAGTTCGGAGTCAAATCCTCAGGGAACTAACCTATCTATTATAACTCTTAGTGATGCTAGTACAAGCTCAAACAATTACCGGATGCAAGATTTTTATCAATAAATATTGGAATTTGTTTAACTAAAGTAAAATGATATTAAAACTAACAATATTCCAAATTAAAGATAATTCAATGGTAAAAAGATCTAGGGTATTGATTTCCCTAATTGCTAGATTAATTCTTAACTCTTTTGCTATAATTTCGCCGTAATACTCT